ATTTACACACGACACACTAAAAACGCGATCATACACATATCATAAATGTAACGTTATTAAAGAATTCTTTGCCTTTTTGCTTAAAAATGTATTTTCTAAACTAATTTTAATCATTCGTAGAACAAAGAGAAAAAAGGACGGAAGTCCCAAAAAATATATATTTTTTTTTGAAACAACTCTACGAACCTATAACTGGCGCAGTCGGAAAGTCCTGTCTAACGCGTATTCCAATACATATGTCTAATGCATATTCCAAACATTTCTCAAATAATAAATAAAAGAATGTGATACGTTGCACAGTAATATTGACCGACGTAAGACATGACGACGAACAAGAAGACCTTATCAGAGAATACCACATAAACAATAACCATCGTGGAATAAATGAAACGTATTCTCATTTAAAAAGAGAAGTAACCATTAAAAAATTGCAAAAAAAATAAACCACTGTGAAAAATGCCAGACACTTAAATACAATACAAGTCCTCCAAAGATAAAATATGAAATACCAGAAACACCCAAAAAAACACTTGATATAATACACATTGATCTTAATTCTTTAAACCATTGCCAAGTTCTTACAATATTAGATAAGTTTTCTAAAGTTGCCGCCGCATACTCCATTCCAAATAAAACAAGTTTAACTGTAACAAAATCATTACAAACATTCCTCAGACAATACGGAATTCTTAAAAAAATAATTTGTGACTACGGTTCAGAATTTTCGAGAAACATCTTTAAGTATTTTTGTAGAAGTCTTACACCTTACGCAGTTTTTTCATGGCGAACTTATAAATTTGACAAGGATGTTCAATTCAATAACGAACATGACTACTTGCGTAAACTTAACGAGTTTCAGGAAACTCTTTACACTTATATTAAAGGAAAGCTGCAAAGAGAAACGCAGAACCGGCTTGAAAACTAAATATAGACAGAAGTGTGTATTAATTTTCCAACGTTGCAATTACCATCATACATATTATATTATAGAAAAGAATACAGGACAAATAAAATGACACCAAGAATTTCGAAACCCAAAGTTAAAAATAACAATAGAGTAACAATCATTACAACGAGAAATCAAAAAATACAAAAATTTAGATTAAAAACTAAAAAGAAAACGTAATTATATTTTTAGAATTCCATTATTACTGATCCAACTTATAGAAATACAACCTATCAGACCGGACCAAATGATAGTGCATGTAAATCTCGAACAAGCGAGAATCATCGAAAATTACAGAAATCTCATTCACATCGTAAATTTATAGGAATACGAAAGAAATATTGATGAAATCAATCATGTATGAGGTATATTCCAAAAATGAGGAACCTTAACCGACTCCGTTAAGATAACCAATCTCAAACTAAAAGAGCTACAAAACAAAATAAAAACCCTTACTCCTTCCAAACGAACAAAGAGAGGACATATTAATGGACTGGGTACCGTCATAAAATTTATAAGCGGAAACATGGACACAAGAACTAAATAAACAAAACATCAAAACCACGATTGAAAACCAACATAAAATAAATAAACAAATGATAGAACGGTTTCACAGTTTTACATCCCATATTAATACGGAATAAAGAAAACTCGAATCATATATAGCACATTTGTCACAAGAAACTTCAAACAAAGCGCTCAAAGAATAAAGCATCTTACACGAAATGCAATATTTGGAATAAATAAATTACAATAATTTGCTTAGTGACCATTTAACTAACTTAGACGCAGATACATTAAATGTCATTTCTAAATTGATTCCCGACCAGAATGAAATGAAGTTCATTTACGATGTATTTACACATAAGTCTACTGAGCTTATCTCAGACGAACACGTCTATGAACGTCTTGGGCTTTAAGCTTATTACAATCATAGCAGCATAATATTCAACGTTATAATACCTTTCGGCCACATTATTCCTTTACCAATTAACTTGACCAAAATAATCGTAGCACAACCATACAAAACCCACAACGAAAAGTGTGTTCAATACTTTACAAAAGTCTGTCCCAGGATTGAAAGCACATTTTATTGTCGGTCCTCCCCCCATGATGATCATTCTATTCTTCTCAAGGATAACACCTAAAAAAGCAACACCGAATGTCATCGTTCCGGCCATATCAATCTCCAGCTCCTTATGGCCGTCACTCTATTCTAAGGGGGAGGAGTTGCGTTGGCCACCAAATCCACAGGCTGACACAACATTTATTGGTCATGCGGGTTTAGTTGAACATCAACCCCACTCAGACATACTGATACAGCACTTCACACTCTCATACTTGTTAGCACAACATTTACCGTTCACACGCTGACACAACACAATTTACACACGCCACACTAATAACACGATCATATTACACAGATTTTATCGTCATGAACATACGGCGGAGGTGATTTTCTCCTCACGAGAAGGATCTGCCTTTCACTGAAAAAAATGTTTGTGCCAATTGTAAAGGAGTGCATATTCCCTCGCAAAAATATTTTCCGGCCAGACAACGAGTTTATGAAACAAAAAGAATAATCACAATAGAGAATATATCCCGGAAAGAGGCGAGGGAAAGATATTCAGGTCATTTTAAAAAGTTTTGATATCCTAGCCGATATTGATAAAACGTTTCCAACTGTGGAAGTAGCTAATAAGAAAAGGACAAAACCACAAGAAGCAACTATTATCCCATAATTATCGAAATTGAACGATATGCAGTAAAAAGCAGGAAGAAAAGGCTATTAGATGAAATTAGCAACATTGAAATAGGCAATGACCTCAAAGCGATTGAAAATAGATTACATAATATGTATTTTCTTAAATGATATATAATCCACGGAAGGAAACGGAGTGACATTGCGTTGTTAAGTTCGGATTCATTTTGATGCAAAAGCAAGACGGTAAACGATTTCATCCCGTTGCTTACTTTTCTAATACATGTTAACAGTTACCGTTCACACACTGAAACAACGTTATTTACACACGCCACACCAAAACACGATCATATTGCACACGTAACGTAAATAAATAAGTGTTTGCCTTATGCATGAAAACATATTTTGTAAATTAATTTTAATCATTCGGAGAATAAACAGAAAATAGAACGGAAGACCCCAAAAAATTATTAAAACAATTCAATCGAATACATAGCTCGTGTGCCGACTCGAAAAAATAGGGTTTATAGGCCGGTAAAAATTTATGAATACCACAGAAAGGAGGTACAACATTTCATTCAATTCGGTAGATGCTACAGGTGTTATCGCAATGAACACACGACGGCACTTTAAACAAAGATTAGAATCATACAGGAAATGCTTTTCCCTCACGAGAAGGATCAGCCTTGCCTTGAAAACATTGTTTGTGTAAATTCCAAAGGAGGACAAAGTCCCTCGGAAAAAGATTTTCCGGCCATACAACGAGCTTAGGAAACAAAAATAATAACGACAATCAGGAATAAAACCATTGATAACAACAAATCCTCAGCAACAAACTTTATACATGCTAGAAGTTCATTTGCGAAGGTTTACAAAAACAACAGAAATCAGTAAAAAGAACCTGCAGGCTTACAAAGAAGCCATTAGGAAAAGGAGAAACCTACCATTCACCCAAAGGATCCTTGATCCGCACAACACAGGAAGTTCTAGATTCGCTGTTGAACAGTATTCATGAGCTTGCCTCTACATGGATAGGTAAGTTGAACGATGAGCAAGCCTCCACACAAAAAATATAAAGGATAAATTACACAATGAAATTTTAAATGTCAGTGTCCTCTTGATAAATCCAGGCATTAAGCCACATGAAAACGCCAGCATAATACAGGAGGTAATTGCCTCCGATACTTAATTTTCCACTATGACTACAATTCTTCAATATAACATACAAATTATAAACAAGCAAGAAAATAAGAATTTCCTGGAGCTCTTCCTGGGGAATGAAAAAATATATTGCCCTATTGGCGGAAACATGGGTTAGAACTGATACAACTACTATAATGGATATGGATGTGTAGGCATGTACATGAAATCGTAAATTCTAATTTTCTTTAATTAACTTCGACTCTGTGGATGAGGTAATTGGAATAACAATATTAAACTCAAAAAATCTCTTTATCACCCTTCTAAACAACACCCACTCTACTATTGATTTGACATTCTTAATTTCAAACCTTTTGGAATTTCAGGACGGACAAAATCACAAGAAGCACCATTTGCCCATAATGAAGTTAGCAACATTGAAATAGGCAATGACCTCTGAGGTAATATATATTTCACGGAAGGAAACGTAATTACATCCGTTGCTGTGTACGGATTCATTTTGATATAAAACCATGACAAACGATTTTATCCCGTTGCGTACCTTTTTTCTAAAAAAAACGACAATTGCCTAGACAAGATACTACAACTTCGAGTTTAAGACTCTTGACAAAATAAACCCATTAAGAATATTTAGTTTTTACTTCGAAGGAATAATTCAATATTGTTACGGACTGCAACCCACGCACGTTACATTGGCTAAAATAAATGTTAATAGCCGTATAGCGAGATAGAAATAAGAACTAATACTGCAAAGTCCATGTCGGGCCACATATGTAAAAAAATTCAGTTATATCGAGGGGGCGGCAACCTTATTTTAAAAGGTGTTAAACATTACCGAGTATTCAGAATGTAAACCTTCGCTATAAGCGGATAAATTCACAACCGTTAGAGGTTATTTCAAAGTTGCTACAAGAAAAGCAAAACTCGAGGGATATTGGAAGACGTAAAAATAAGATATAAATCATCTCAAATTGTCGAGCAATCTTCACATTTTCCTGTGTACCCACATGTTGTTAAATGTCAATAGCTATGTACTGGAAGTATGATTTCATAGAGAAAGTCTCAAAGGAATTTTCAATTCACATCTGGCATAGCATTTAAAGATCGTAGACGAACAATTAATTCTACATACTTGCAATAATTGTATCTATACATAAATACCGTTTAAAAATGCCTATGTAATGATATTGTCTATGGTGTATCCCTTGTCGGTTCCGGAAGTTCTGTCGTTTCATTTGTTGTTGTTGATGTTCTATTGCTGGCTTGAGAATAGACACGCATACGAGCCTCATGTTCCAGAAGTGCAAAACGAATTCGTTGTTCGTGTAATTCACGCATGTATCGTAATTTAATCTCCTGTTCTTGCTGTTCGTGGCGCAGTTTCTGTTCATGTTCTTTGCGAGCAAAATCCATCTCAGCCAAACGTGCACGTTTCATTAAATCAAATAATTGTTTTTTGTATTTTTCATCTCTTGAGGCCGGTGGTGATGGTGGCGGTGTTGTCAAGTTGGAAGTGGCGTGTGGGACTGGTTTATTTTCCATAGCTGTGGTATAGTTTGCATTGTTGAGATTCGATGTAATGGGTATCGCCATTGTAACGCCTGTAGGTGCTACATTATCGACCTCGGCGCCCATTGTTGCTGTAGTTTCACATTTTTGTCGCTTTATTTTCAAACCTAACACAGGCTTTTCACCCGGCGATTTTGTTTCTTTTTCTTTAACGGGCTTCTCTTTTAATTTTGGTAAAATTTTTCTTTTCTTCACTGGCACCACATCATTAATGGGTTCGGGAATTTGTTGGAATTCTAAATTTTGCGATTCAGCCGAAGTGGAAGGTGATAGTGCCAATGTCGATGTAGGTTGGGTGTCTTCACTGTTGCTGGTGTTATTGAAAAGGGTTGCGGGTAATGCGGCCAACGGTGTGTCATCTTCTTCATCTAAATCATCGAGCAATTCCTTTTTAATTTGTATTGCCGAGTTGCGAGTCTGACTACGGGTACCACCAATCGCTGGTTCCTTTAACATTTCCTCCATAAACTCCAACATCGGCAGACCTTCTAACATATTTGTAGACTTGGGATTCTTCAGTTGATATTCTTTTTTAGCTGAATTTTTCATACTACGCCATTGTACTTGAATTTGTTCCATCGAACGATGACGAAAATTTAGAGCATTGAAGCTGTTTGATTTGGAAAAAATACAAATATAATACATTATTTTATATATAAAATATGCTAAAAAACTTACTGCTTTGTAACATGTAACCATGCCAAACGTTTCGATTTGATTGACTTGGCATCAACTGATTTATTTTCCACAAATTCCACCTTTGGTTTAATAATTTCAACCAGGAGACCCTAGAAATGCAAAATAAAAAAAACAAAACAATTTTTTCAAAATATAATTAATAATGAAAAAAATATATTTTTTTGAGTTTCATTAATTTGTTATACTTCTATTGCGTTTTTGATCTTTTCGGCTTGATGTTAGGAAAATAAATGTAATCTAGAACAACTATTTGTTTGGTTCTGTCAATGCATGCATATTTAACATGTTCATAGTAAACATAGTCAGCGAAATTGTATCCATAAAATACTTTTTTTTTGTCATAAAAAAGATGCAATCAGATTTTTTAGTCGAAGTTAACACATACAATAATTTAAAAATGTTAAGCTGCCGTCGAAAGATTCCTGAATAAAGTGGATGTGTGTACGTAGTGTCGCATCCAGTGTTGCCATTTCAGATATTTTGACCAAATTTGGTCCGCATAACAAAAATATTTTCTATTTTGTCCCATATTTGACCATTTAATTCGTGCTACTAATTTAAGAGAAATCCGTTTGAATTTGCAATTTTCGACCAAAAATCGGATTTTTTACCTTTTTACGGACATTTTGGATCAAAAAGTTTTTTTATCAAACGGCAACATTGGTCGCATCTCTAGTATTGTCCAAAATGTATATGACGTAGAGTCATTTGTACAAATGGAGGTAAATAAAGATAGTTTTTTTTTAGAGAAATTTGCAGCAAAACTTACACTGGTGGCCAAACTTTTGTAACTTTTTTAAAATAATATTATAGTGAACATTTTATCAGATATAAAAAATATATATAAATGCAAAATTTATTTTGAAATAAAAATATTCTATGTAAAACTAAATTGAACCAATTTTTGCATGGTCAAAACTAAAGCATCTTTTTTATTTTTTCTTATAAATAAGCAAATGTTGCTAGTAATCGACATTACGGCAGCACACCTACGATGCACTGAATCAATAAAATACTCAATTTGATCCTTGGGTATACTATTCCTTGCATCCTGAACCTTTGGGAAGACTTTTGATTTTGCTATCTATAATATTCCACAGATTTTTCTATAGGGTAAAGATCTGATGATTGTGTTTATAAAACCCAGATTTTTGACTCCCGCAAATAATTTTTGACATGTTTTGGTATAAGTTTGGTGTTAATTGTCAAGCTGAAACACCCAAACAAGCGGTATATTTTGTTCAGCGAAGGGAAACATAACATTTTCCAACAAATTTGTATAGACAATCCGATCCATTACTTCATAAATCTCGTAAATAGATCGAACTCCATAAAAAGAAAAGCAGCCCAATATCATTATTGGGCCTCCTCCATGCTTCCATATACCTTTGCATTACTGTGGCATGAGTAAAATTGCAATTAGTACGATCTTTGGTCACCAGTGTATATCTAACCAACTAAATATACAAACTGTGTATGACAAATATTTATTAAAATTTAAAGGATTTGTTCATCCTACCAACTTTTGAAAAATATCACAGAGAAATCCGTTTTAATACAGCATTTCTTAATTATACCCTTCACCACACTGTGGTACAGGGTATTATGTCTTTGTGCATATGTTTGTAACAGGCAAAAATAATCGAGATAGACACATGGTTCCTTTTGAGAATATGCATAGAATCACTTTCTAAGTCGATTTATGCATGTCCGTCAGTCCGTCTGTCCGTCTGTCCGTCTGTCCATGTTAAATTGTAAACAAAGTACAGGTCGCATTTATGATCCGAATTGGATGAAATTTGGCATAGGTCACTTATTCGGCCCAAGGACGAACCCTATTGAAATTGGGAAAAATCGGTTCAGATTTAGATATAGCTCCCATATATATATATATATTTAACCGATTTTATGTAAACGGCCCCTAAATATCTTTCGATTTGCACGAAATTTGGTACAGCCTAATCATTTAGGTCTAGAATGATGACTGCCAAGTTTCGTGAAAATCGGTCCAGATTTAGATATAGCTCCCATATATAGATTCGTCCGATTTCATGTAAATTGTGCCCCAAAGTCCCTATATATCTTTTGATTTGCACGAAATTTGGTACAACGTACTGAATTAAGCCTAGAGTGATGTCTGCCAAGTTTGCAAAAAATCTGTCCAAATTTAGATATAGCTCCCATATATAGTTTCTTACGATTACATGTAAATGATGCCCCAAAGTCCCTATATATCTTTCGATTTGCACGAAATTTGGCATAACGTACTGAATTGAACCTAGAATGATGTCTACTAAGTTTCGAGAAAATCGGTCCAGATTTAGATATAGCTCCCATATATAGTTTCGTCCGATTTCATGTAAATGGTGCACCAAAGTCCCTATATACCCTTCGATTTGCACAAAATTTGGCATAACGCACTTAATTGAGCCTAGAATGATGTCTGCCAAGTTTCGTGAAAATCGGTCCCGATTTAGATATAGCTCCCTTTTATTATAGATTGATTTTAAGTAATTGACGTACTAAGGAACCAGTAGGAACAAAACGTTCTGAAATTAGTACAAGTTTGTTTGAAATCGCTTAATATTTGGATAGAGCTCCAACATATATTTTCGCCCGATTTTAAGTAAATTGGGCATCAAGCTCCTCATGTTAGTCAGATTGACATCAAATTTTGCACAACGTACAAAACTGAGCATAGAATTACGTAGTTGAGTTTTCTAGAAGTACCGACATAGCCCAACGGATGACCTATTTATACTTGTTTGAAGTCGATTGACATACTTTATGGATAGATCTAGGTAGATTCACATTTAGATAAATATCACATTTTTTTCATCCAATTTTATGTTAATAGTCCTGTTGAATATACCCATAGTGGTGAAGGGTATCATATAGTCGGCCCGTCCGACTTTACTACTTTCCTTACTGGTTCTTTTTCCTAAAGGTTGTTGGAAAATTGGGCTACGCGTACAGAATTATAAAATCGGTATATTTATTCCTTACTAAGGTCGGCAGACATTTTTTAATAATGACATTCATATATTTTATTTTCCTATGTCTACTATTAGATTTCGCATAATGTATTCAAAATTATTTGTCAATTATGTCTTTGAGATATTCTACACATTTTTTTTCTCCATTAAAGATTGTTTTCAAACGAAATCAACGACAACCCTTAAGCGCCATCTATTGACACTTTTTTCATAACGATCCTAAAAAATATCTTGTTTGTACAGTCAAACACGGAAATTTTAAAATAGCTCGATACAATAAGCCATTCATATTAAAACGAATCTAAAGCAATTCCAATAAGAATATAAAGCTGACCAAAAAGTATCCCTTGCATTGCCAAAAAAAACAAACTCTTAACTACACTATCAACATTCACACACACGCACAACACAGTCACAAACATTCGCGCAATATTTCTTATAGACATTTTACTTAAAACGCCTGCATACATAAAATATCTTTACGAGTCCTTTTGTCAAGTAGATAGAATATGGTGGTAGATGATGTGGATCAAAGTGAATAATAACAATATCTCGTCCAACTTACACGCTCAGCTTCTTCCCAATTGAGGGAACGTTTTTTTCGCACCGATTTCTTTTTGCCCGTGGACTCTTCAGTTTCACCCGTTTCATTGTCGACAGATTCATCCACTTTGGCAAAGGGTTTCGTTTCCGCACTAAATTCACTGCCATTTTCGGTTTTTACACAACCACTACCGTTGCCATCGTCTAAATCCTCATCAGCTTCCGGAAACTGATCGAAATCCTCTTCATTTTCGGATTTCGGCGTCTCTGGCGGTGGTGGAACTTGTGGTATAGCGGGCTCCACCTTCTGTCCCCCAAGAGTTGCGGAAATTTTCAATGGTGTTACCAAAGGACTCCCATTTACATTCGGCTCCAATTTCATTTTCGATTTTTTGCGTTTGTATTGTTTTGTTGCCGTTGAAAGCTTAATTTTGTAGCAGTTTTCTTTCTGCCCAAGAAAATTTACAAAATTTCTCCTTCGGTGTTTTTTTCCTCCTTCAAACTTTGATTTTTTGTTTATATATGCTCCAACTCCAACTTTAGGGATCTATACATCGATATAAGACTTATCGAAGTTTTATAGCATGCCAAAAAATATAAGTTGTCGATTTGGGCGATAATTAATCCTGGAATGTTATCGATTTGTTACTGTGGAAAGTGGAAATAAAAGTCGTTACACTTTTTCTGATTTTAAAATGGGTATTAGGCAGATGCAGCATCTCTTGCTCTGTCTGCAAACCTAAGGACCTGATTATCTTACTAATAAGCACCTTAGATAATAATCCTATCGAATCTACGACCCTGGACCAATATTTACCAATTGAAAAGATTAAAATTGGACTGAATAGTCGCAGCCGACACAATCTTCAAATAATAAATGCTTAAAGCCCTGTACCGACGGACGGTGTTCGCTCTTTCATTTGTTGTTCGACCCTCAATTCTGAAATAATTACTTAGTTCCCATACAACATTTTGTAAGCGAGTCTCATTGTTCAACTTGAGTCTCGCTCTATTGAAATTGTAAAAATGTACCGAAAAATTTAAAAATTATGTATGAAAAGTAAGAAATTAAAACCTGGCCGGGTTTTAATAATTGGAAGATCATGGCATATTTATTAAAGATAGTATCATTTGCTAAATCGATGATGGCAGCCCCAGCAACGCTGTACTTGATTTTGTCATTTTCAAAAAAAATTTGTATTTGAACCCGTAAGCATTTATGCACGACGAATGACATATTTGAAAATATTGAAATAAATTATAATTGGTTTGTTCCCGTACTGCAAGAATCTACTATTTTTTACAATTTATTTCGATATCATAGAGGAAAAAATGGTTATCGTAGTAAAAAAATAGTAGATTCTTGCAGTACGGCAACAGACCAAATATTTGGTCTGTTCCCGCATATGTTCCCAAATATTTGGTCTGTAATAGGTTCCTATTTTTATCCGTTCTACCATACAGAATATTTAGTACTTTTTAGTACCTTTAAGTACAATTTACAAACTTTTGTCGAGTATTTCACTTTGTTTATAAAGGGTGTTGATGATCAGTCAGTCACTTATAACCCAATTATATATAGACTCTTTAAATATAGATTAGGCAATGCCAATTTCTTTCGAATTAACTTGTTGACATTGCGAGTATTTATACTTTTATTTTACTTTTTAGTAGTTTACATGCCTTTTTGAAACACCATTTAATAAAAAAAAAACTTTATCAATGTACTATTTTGTTTGCACACAAAAGTTCCCCACTCTCATTACAAATATTTAGTACGTTTATATATTACCATTTACTGTGATACAATGCTTAGTACTAAAATCCAAATATATTTATGCATACCATTATATTTGAAATAGTTAAGGTACATACTATATTTCAGATTTCAATCTATACCATTTCCATTATAATTTAATATTTAGTACTATTTTAGTACTAACTTCAAAAATATATTAATAGGTTTGTCTGGTTACTTTTCCAGTAACAATTATTCAGTAAATTCTAGTTCAGAGAGTAAGCCGTTTTACTCTCTTTTGCGATAGTGCTGAGAAAAGTAAACAGACAACATTTAGTAAGATTTAGCAAATAAACAGCTGATTCAAGAAAACATTTGATTTGCGCCAAAATAAACAAACAAAGGACGAACACAATTATTTGTATTGCAAATTGATTTAGTATGTTCCCCGGGAACTTGCCTAAAAATATATAAGGAATTAGTTTCTAATTTAATGAAACTTTGCATTACTTACGAATTTTATACAAATTCATGGTACAATAATACAAGGTAGGGCAGTTTGAGGTGAATAACAAAAAATCAACTATGAACGTGTGGCTTCTTCTGCCAAAAATAAAATAATTATACCCAACAAGTGTTTGTGTTTATTTGATATTTTTTCAACACAAAACTAATAACGCGAAAAATGAATGAAAGGTTATGATTTCTTCCCAAATACAATAAAATGTTTGTTTCATCCATAAAAAAGTAATTACTTCCAGAAGAACATGTTAAAAACATAATTTTCATTTCAATTAAATTTGAATATATTTCAATTTATTTTGAATTTATTTGACATACTATTCAAAACAATACACACACATACACAAAATATTGGTCTGTTCCCGTACTACAAGAATCTACCACTTTTTACTACGATAACGAATTTTCCTTAATGTATCGAAGAAAATAGTAAAATCGAGTAGATTCTTGCAATACGGGAACAGAACATATATATTTTGATTTGATGGAACAAGCCACCTTGAGAAAAAATCGTAATAAGTTGGTAGCTGTGCCCTACCTTGTAATAATTATACCATGTACAACTTAACTTTAAATTAAACTTTGCAGATTAAAAAAAATGTTTTGAATAATTTTTGTGTTTGGTCTTAAAACAGCTGATCCAAAAATGCTGAGTTTGCAAAACCTTACTGCTTACTGCATAAATATACGCTACCGTAACTGAGCGTCGATGGTTAAACACGCATTCTCTTTTTTCTCTTTTCGTCAGTCGTTTTTAACCCTACGGTCAATAACCAAAAAAGTATACGTAGATCAATAACCGTGGTACATTTGTACCCATCCAAAGATAGCTCTGTAACACATTAAATAAAAATGCTCAAAACCTTACTGCATAAAATTCTTTCAGTAAACTCCAGTATGTTTGTTGTTGTTGAACAGTCAAACTTGCTCTCTTACTTGACTCTCTTTTATTGAATTTTTGTGTAAACAGACAACATTTAGTAACATTTGGTAACAGTTGTTACCAAATATCGAGTAAACAGACAGAGCTAACATATAGCATAGTCTTTGTGATAGTGAAATCTTCTACGTTTCCGATCCCTAGTTCTACCGGTTCCAATTTTTATCACCACTTTAGTATTAATTAAAAAAATATGAATAAAGTTTTATTAGTAATAGCTATTTTCGTATTTCTTTCTCTATCGGTTCTATTGTAATACAATATTTATAACTTTTTAGTACTAATTTTCAAAAAAATATTTTTGCCCATCGTTCTATTTCTAACAGCATAAGTACATATCAAGTTTCACATATATATTTCTACTTCTTCCATTGTAGTGTAATATTTAGTACTCATTAATACTAATTTCCAAAATTTGTTCACACATTTCAGAGTTTTACTTCCAACTGTTCCGGAGTAAGACAGGTTTTAGTACTAATTTCCGAAAAATATTTGTGTACAACATTATTGGTCTGTCCCGTACTGCAAGAATCTACTAAATTTTACTCTTTTCTTCGATATCATAAAGGAAAATTCGTTATCGTATAAAGGAAAATTCGTTAAGCTAGATATCAAGTTTCATAAATATATTACTACTTGTTACATTGTAATATAATATATAGAACTTTTCGATACCTTTAGTACTAATTTCCCCCTCCCTTATCATTGACAAAGCTGCATACCAAATTTCAGAGTTCTACTTCCAACCAAGGCGTATTTAATAAGGTGTAAGTGACAATAATGTGGTTTTAAACTTTTTTCTTCATTGTTTGTGAAATAAATTGTCAAAACAAATTTCTTCGACGTTTCATTTCCTCAAAATTTAAATTATGCATTTATAGGAACAGAAAATGTTACAGATCTCAAATGACGAAAAAATATATTTTACATTGGGTTCCTGATTACAGGCCTCTGAAATATGGACCTTTAAAATTTGCAAGGGGCCTGTATTGGTATCTGTGCATTGGTGTTTGTTGTACATTCTGAAATATGGCCCTCTATAATGTCTCTAGTGCTTTCTAACGAAAATATCACAATATGCATGTAGATTCTATAGAGTAGCTCATGTTTAAATAAGTCCATACGTGTGGGGTATAAAATCATTAACCATCCTCAAAACCAAGGAAAATGTATATTGGAACCTGCCCATTGGTATTTGCAAAATCTTCGACGGATGTCCTGCCTAACTCATAGGCACAAGATTTTTGCAATTAAGAATAGATTCTGTAGTGGATCTCTATATGTTAATTTAAATTGACAAGCTTTGTGGATAGCCGTACTTCGTCCCGAGAATTTGACATACGCTTATGACAATATTGGTATAATGGCTACGAAACACAATCTTCATTATTTTGTGGTCTGAGAGAGCAGATTTGAAAGCCATAATTAAATAAATATATATAGGAGCCACGGGCAGGATGTAGTAAATTTTCCAACAAAATTTGTTGAGAAAAAATAAACATTTTTTTGTTTATCTTTGGCCAAAACTAATTGTCAAAATGACAATTTAATTTCTATAACAACAATGTTGTTTATGTAGAATATTTGTTGTTGTATCTGATGCATACACCTTATTAAATACACCATGCTTCCAACCATGGTACAATTATACAAAGTAGCTTTTGTCAGGAAGGAGAAAATACACCTCTACCTTATGGGCAATAATGTTAGAATAAATGAAAACAACTGCAAAAAGTCCTTGTGTTCATTTGACATAAGTTCCGTTCCAGAACCTAAAAGAATCTACTCATTTTACAAGTTTTGCAAATTTTTACTCGAAAACCATTCCTGAACCCACAAAACTGGTAAAACATTGAATACAATTAAAGAGAGCACAATACAAAATGGCGTTCTCTTTGTAAACTTTTTACTCGAGAAATTTGGCCGAGTAAAAATTGTGAACAGGAATGCCTACTTCTGATTAGCTGTTATGTTGATTTTGAAGTATTGCCATCTAAAGGGCTAAACAGAATGTTCGCGTTGAGCGTTTTTTGTTATCGCGTTAACGCACGCAAAAAGTTAAAATATATTTAACTTCAAAGCGCAGCGCACATCAACTTCGAGCGTTTGGGTTATCGTTTCCATGTGGTTGTTGTATTTTCGATAACACTTAACGCAACTGATGGCTCAACGCGAGCATTCTGCTTAGCCCTTAAACAGAATGTTCGCGTTGATCGTTTTTTCTTATCGCGTTAACGCACGCAAAAAGTTAAAATATATTTAACTCCGAAGCGCACAACAACTTCGAGCGTTTGTGTTATCGTTTCCTTGTGGTTGTTGTATTTTCGATAACACATAACGCAACGGATGGCTCAACGCGAGCATTCTGCTTAGCCCTTAATTTTGGCATATTTACTAGATTTTCGTTCCTGAACTTTTTATGGGGAACTAATTAATTAGTTCCCCATACAAAATTGTCTGAGCGAACACCTACTTTTGTTCGTTGTTCAATTCGCCAAGAATTTTGTCCCATCTCTAACAATTGAGAGAATTGATCGAAAATAAATTAATTTTGACAGCATGAAAAAATTTTTAAAATTTTCAAAGTTTTTCAGTAAAATTGAAAATGATGAATGAAAAGTAAACAAAATTCTAGTTTTTATATATGCAGAAGGATGTAAATTTTGTTGTCTACTTGATGCAATATGCATTTCTTTCCCCTTTGTTCTAATTAGCATACAAAACGACAGACAAAAGTGGGGAAACCAAAAAAAAAAAAAAAAAAAAAAATAATTAAATTTTTTAAATGTGACATTTGAGGTTTACTATTTTTTACTCCGACACTTTTTTCCTTTATGAGAAAATAGAAACATGTATTGAAAACAACAATATTTTCAGAAAAAATGGAAAACATGAATTAAAAGTAAAGAGATAGGGGTTGATATTATAGGCGGGAAAAAGAGAATATTTTTTTCTATTTAGATCCATATGTGATTCACGCAAATATGTTACAATTTTGGTGTAAAACAAGAAACAAAGAGTTTGAAATAAACAACTGTGATGAATTAAGAATAGTGTTGTATGAACTACGTTGTTCGAATGCCCGTCAGAACATGGCATTAAATTATTTTGTACTCTGAGAGCGATTTTGAAATGTTTCTCTTTTACTAGCTTTACTATTAACAAAGTACTGGAACAGATCAATATTTGTAAAATTTTACCAAAAAAAAAAAAAAAAACGACCCTGCAATTCAAATGAAAAATAAGCTAGTTAAGGCTGATATTAAACAGTCTACGACTGCCAGGATTGTAGTTCTGGGAGGCGACGACCTACATGGGATCCTTAGTTCTATTCACGATAGTCTAGAGGAACAGAGTAGGGAACTCTTCGACCAACTAGACAGACACCTTTCACTTAAAAACGATCGAAAGTATATATGGGAGCTATATCTAAATCTGTACCGATTCCAACAAAATTTCACTCACGCTAGGCTATAATAATTTCAGTGCGTTGTGTATTTTTTTTTCCAACGACCTTACATTGGGTCTTTGGTGCAACATTTACTTAAAATTTAAATAGGATGAAACTATATATGGAGCTATATCTACATCTGAACCGATTTCAGCAAATCTTGACACACGTTATGTTATAGAAACTTCAATACGTTGTGCAAAATGTGTCAATCGGAACAACCTTGGGAGTTTGGTCCACCATTAACATTAAATCGGACGAAAATATAAATGTGAGCTATAACTAAATCTAAAACGATTTTCTACAATTTCAATAGGGTTCGTTCTGGGGCCAAATAATTGGGCGGTGCCAAATTTAATATTAAGTGTGTCTGGTTACTTTTCCAGTAACATTTATTCAGTAAGTTCTAGTTCAGAGAGTAAGCCTTTCTTACTCTCTTTTGCGATAATACTGAAAAAAGTAAACAGACAACATTTAGTAAGATTTAGCAAATAAACAGCTGATTCAAGAAAACATTTGATTTGCGCCAAAATCAACATCAAACAAAGGACGAACACAATTATTTGAATTGCATTTAATATTAAAAATAAAATGAATAATAAAAAAACTGATCTGGTATGTTCCCCGGGAACATTTAAGTTCCCTGCATTAATACATTGCCCTCTATCTAGAACTTGCCTAAAAATATATAAGGAATTAGTTTCTAATTTAATGAAACTTTGCACTAACGAATTTTCTTCCATTTTAACTTCAAATTAAACTTTGTAAATTAAAAAAAAAATGTTTTAAATAATTTTTGTGTTTGGTCAGAAAACAGCTGATCAGAAAATGGCTGAGTTGCAAAATCTTACTGAATAAAATTCTTTTAGTAAACTCCAGCAACTTTGTTGTTGTTCAACTGTCAAACTTGCTCTCTCACTTGACTCTCTTTTACTGGATTTTTGTGTAAACAGACAACATTTGGTAACAATTGTTACCAAATATCGAGTTAACAGACAGAGCTATTATATGGATCATATAGGCGACCTGTACTTTGTTTACAATAATACATTAACAGACGAACATATGCATAAATCGACTCAAAAAGTGATTCGATGCATATTCTCTAAAGGAACCTTGTGTCGATCTCGTTTTCTTTTGCCTGTTACAAACATATGCACACCCATACCCCAAGTGGAAGCTTTTGGCTGTGACTCACTGTATGTAGTTTAAACTGAAAAGCATTTATGGATATATTGGTCGGTGGAATTGATGGAATATCGGTCGACGGCTTGATTTATCGCTCGTCCAATGATTGTCAAGTCAGCTGTCGTTGTTTCTGGTGCATACTCGTTTTAATACATATGGAATAGTGCGTCATGAACGTGCTAATTCAAGCACATAATTCTGATGTCTCCCACATACTATACTGCCGTACTGCTACTGGCGATGAACCCCTGTATACGTGTGTTCTTGAAGAGTTTGTAGACGACTCTTCAATAAAAATTACAAATACATGATTTATTCCTTCATAAAAATTTAATTTCGAATTAAAATTTATTTTATTTCGTCACAATTATTGGTCTGTTCACGTACTGCAAGAATCTACTACTTTTTACTACGATAACGAATTTTCCTTATGATATCAAAGAAAATAGTAGCATCTAGTAGAACCTTGCAGGACGGGAACAGACCATATTTATTCCCAAAATTTGTTTCTGACAACTTTGAAAATTACCGAAATTCATCGGATTGAAAGGCGTTCATTTTCAAAATTAAAACTATTTTTACAACGTTACCTAAAATTCAACGAGGCGTATAAAAATATTCAACATCCCCACTATGGCAAAATGCCTTGTACGGCCGTATTACCCAAATACGTCGAATCCATTTCTCTTAGCGAACTAAACAAAATCGCGAAAAAAATATAGTTATTTGTTTTTAAATTCAAAAAAAGAAAAAAACAAAACTACGTTCTGTCATAGTTGAATTTTTTCAACTTTGAAAATTCGTACGTCGACGTATTTCGGTAACATTCATATGTTCTACTTTTGTGGTGAAAAACGTCGAATGGGCTAGTTGAATTTTAGGTAAGGCCAAGGTATATTTAATAAGGTAGCCGCATCGACCCAGCTGTTGGTGCAAATAAATGTCGAAAATGTTTTTGTAATGTTGAACCAAAAAATTATAAATGAAAATTTCCGCATTTCGAAGAGTTTGTTTGGCAATACTTTTATAAACATTTTCTACAAGAATTTGTGTAAAAAAATCATGTCGATCTGTTTGTTTGTCAAAATAGTTTTGACATATCAAAACACAACAACCGATGTTTGTTGTAGAAATTCGCCGATGCGGCTACCTTGTCTATCTATCTACCTTGGGTAAGGCTGTTATTTTCGTAATGCACTGTGGTGTGTGGGGCCATTGAGAGCAAAAAACGTTTTTCAGAAAACAACCGATATTATCGATAACTTTACTATCAATCGATAACGATACAAACATATTTCAATCGTTTCATTACCAGCTCTAATCTGTCTACTACGGTTTAATACAACTGTGTAATTTGATTAAACTGGAGTGGTGTGAAGGAATTGAATCTGAAGAAATTTGTAAAAATCTAGAAAACATAGGAAAAGTTTCGCCCCCAAATAGAATTATTATGTGATTTTGGCAATCGGTATCTGTGAAAATTACAAATTAAAGTCGGTGCAAGTGATTTTCTTTCGGAAAAGTGAAAAACAAATTAAAGGGTGTCGTCTTTTCCACTGCAAAATAATTTTCTGCGGCCGCTGTTATTCACCACTTGTATGTTGTGTTTTGCTGTTGTTGTGTTGAGTTGAGTGTTTGTTGGCCTCTCTCGCTCGTCCGTTGGCTCTCTTTGTGTTTGTTGGGGTAAAAACTGTCAGAATTTTTTTCTTCAGTTTATCGATTTTGTGATAACACATAAAATACATTTTTTTCTGCTGCTCCAACCTCCAACTACAGAATTGCCGTTGAATGTTTTAGAGGAAAATTTTGGATTTTCCATTTGTTTAAAGGACAAACAAAATAGATATAGACGAAGACAAGGATTCGAAAAAAACATGAACATCGATTTTGTGAAATTGTGTGGCAAACATACGCCGATCTATGAGGCCTACTACAAACAGGTATAGTTTTTGAGGCCAAAGTGGAACGGAAGTGCCTCGGATGAAAAAAATTGAAATGAAAATGTTTTCTTTACAATGATGTGTACTTGTTACAGATGGATCCCAAGGGAACTGGGACCATTGAGGCAATGGCTGCTGCCAAATTCCTGAAAAAGTCTGGTCTCAGCGATGTGGTGCTAAGCCGAGTCTGGGATCTCTCAGATCCCAATGGTAAGGGCTATTTGGATAAGCCAGGTTTCTTTGTGGCCTTAAAATTGGTATCATTGGCTCAGGCTGGTCATGTCTACAACATGAATAACATTTACATGGACACGGAGAAACCACCAAAAGTGGTAAGTACATACCGAGTGTTCTGCCATAAAGTTACACAATCGAAAAAAGGACATGACGGCGAAATATGTGTGTACGTGTGTGCTTGTGTGTGTGTGACATATAAGAAGGACACAGAGTGCAAAATTTGATAATTTGATTTTCTATGAAGTCACAAAATGCCGATAGTGTGAAATATTCCAAAAATGTCATTCAATGTAATAATTAGTGTAATCTTTTATTGTTTTGAATTTGCTTTTATTCAGAATTGCTTAATGTACAATTTCGAATGATGCATTTTAGTTATCAGGCAAAACTGCAATATGTTGTTGTATTTGTATGAAAATTTGTTGCTTATTTGTATGGACAATTTTTTAACATTTGCAGTGAAAATTTAATCACTTAAAATAGGAATAATTTTCATATAAGGGGTGTGGTCATTAGTTGACCTATTAAATTGGATTCTATGTCTACCATGTAGGGTATGCATAGTTGGTGGTAAACGTAATTTATAATCGACTTAAATATCGTACATTGCCAAAATTCATAAACGATTAGCTCAAAAACTCATAGAAATTGCCGATCTCTTGAAAGTATTTCACTTCTAGGCTTATGTTAAGCATAAGACCCGATTGCGGATCATAGTAGCCTTTTTTATTTTTACTTACAACTTTCCCATTCAGTATTGAATTTAGTTTAAGGAAACCCCATCCATGATTTGAAATTTCGTGTGGTCCATGTAATGAAGTTTTTGGAATCGCTCATAGCCTTTATGAAATAAATTAAATTGAATTTCGACAATTTCCAAACGACTTACAGGTCCTTCAGAAGATCAGAGATAGGACTGAAGACGCTATAGCGGGGTCGCAAGATTATAGTGTAAAAAGGGCTAAAGAGAAAGGGGTGGTGATTCGGAATTTGGACACCACTGTAGGGGAAAAAAATTATTGGCTTAATTTCTAGGGACCCTATGTCATTCACAAAGTACTGCCCAACGATCGATACGTTATAAAATATATTGAGAATTGTCAAATTAACTTGGTGTTGGATTGAATTACATAAAACAAATAAATGTTTTTTTGAAACCACAAATGAATCGATTAAGACATCCATTTATAAACAGGCCCCGCTTACAGGTCATTCAGAAGATCAGAGATAGGTCTGAAGACGCTATAGCGGCGTCGCAAGATTATAGTGTAAAAAGGGATAAAGAGAAAATGGTGGTGGTTAACTTCTTTGAGGTAGGAGATTTTGTGGTGATTCGTAATGTGGACACCACTGTAGGGAGAAGAAAGTATTGCCTAAATTCAAGGGACCCTATGTGATTCGCAAGGTGCTTTATAAAAGATATTGAGAATTGTCAAATTAAGCAAATTCCATATGATGGTATAATAAAATCATTCAATATAAGACAATGGATACCCGACGACGCTGGTATGGACACTCAAAGCTGCACCCTTCATTTCAACTATAAATACTCCCTTCAGCTTGTCTGCTCGTCAATAAAGGCTCCCCTTTTCAGAATTAATAAATTTATGTGTTAAATGCATTTAATTGGTTAATCTCTAATGTAACTGAATATATTTTTCAGCCCAACCTATGCTTTTTTTCACCTTGGATATGAAATTTACTTGGTCCCTACAAGTTCGTTATAACCAACCTTGACCGTATTAAGTAAATATTCAAAATTTTAAGGTCTAGGTTGTTTTATAGTAAGACAGTTAAAAATATTACACTCAATCGTCACCTCATCTACTTCGTTTCCGCGAATAGTTTTTTCGGATGTTTTGACTCTCTGTGAATATTTATTGATATTCCAGACATGTAGATTGAATGTCCAAATCTACGCTATAACTACCCAAATGTTATTTCATTTAATAATTCTATTAGCCTAGACCAATTAGGCGAAATTTGGCATAGGTCACTTATATATCGGCCCAAGGACGACCCTTTAGAAATTGAACGGTCCATATTTCTATGAAAATCAGATTTAGATATAGCTCCCATATATAGTTTCGTCCGATTTCATGCAAATGGTGCACCAAAGTCCACATATATCTTTCGCCGAAGGCGGTCATTTCATGTAAATGGTGCCGCTTTCCAATTTCAAGTACAAAAGCAACTGTGCATTTAATGATACTTTTATTTTAAATTTGGTGATTTTTTTATAATAAACGTAATTCTTGAAATTGGAAAGCGGTCAAAATGACTGCCTTCGGCGTTCTAGTGTTAAAAACGTTGGGGTATGGGGAACTCTTTATTAGAGTTCCTTTCGATATCACCGTTTGCATTGAAGTATGAAGACGAATTTTTTATATATACCCAAACATTTTACCTATCATTTTTCATTTTATAATACTGTGTTTTTTATTATTTAGGGTGATTTGCCAAAGATAATGCCACCACGTGTACCACCATCTCCCGTGGTAACGGCTGGTGCTGTTCCCGCGGCTGTACCCACTGGTGATTGGACGATTCGTGTCATTGATCGTCTCAAATATGAACAACTTTTCGAATCATTAAAACCGGTTGGTGGAATGTTACCGGGCAATAAAGTCAAAGGTGTATTATTGGATTCTAAACTTCCTATGGAAACTTTAGGAAAAATTTGGGATTTAGCCGATCAAGATAAGGACGGCAATTTGGATAAACATGAATTTATCGTGGCCATGCACTTAGTTTATAAGACACTGGAAAAGCGTACGGTACCGGATGTATTGCCACCAGAATTACGTAAACCAGGTGTGCCACCACCAAAACCAGCACCACCTGTTATAGCTGGTGGACCGGGAATGCCACGTGCACCATCGAATGATGGATTTGGTGATGGTGGTTTTGTTGCAAACTTTCCCAAAGATATTGCACCACCACCGGCCATACCCATACCACCAGCCATACAGCGTGTTCCACCCGTTGGCGGCCCAGCAACAGTTGGACCGTTAATATCGACAGATCCATTAATACCCATCGGTGCTCCACCATCGGTTACTGCCAATGCTGATTGGGTTGTCGGCGCCGAGGAATTTAAGCGTTTCGAAGTCATGTTTAGGGAGGCTGATCGCGATAAAGATGGCTTAGTATCTGGCTTGGAAGTAAAGAATGTCTTCTTGCAATCGGGAGTGCCACAAAAGATGTTGGCCCATATATGGTATGCACACAAAAATTTTGAAATTATTTACATTTTGTTTTACATTGTATTGTCGTCTTAGGGCTCTTTGCGATACCAATCAATCGGGTAAATTAACATTGGAGCAGTTTGCTTTGGCCATGTGGATGGTAGAACGCAAACAGAAAGGTATTGATCCACCTCAAGTATTGACTGCCAATATGGTACCACCATCGATGCGAGGTATTGTGTCCGGTGTCGATATACAGCCACAGGTATGAACGTTGTAGCAAAACTGACAAATATTTTTGTTAATATAATTTGTTTGATAGGAACCAAAGCCTACATATACCAATCCAGAACTGGAAATGATTTCAAAAGAAATTGAAGAATTGGCGAAAGAACGAAGAGCTTTGGAAACTGAAATTGCTCAAAAGGAAGCTGATATACGCATCAAGAATGGTGAAGTTAGAAGCTTACAGGTGGGTACAAAAATTATCATACAGAATATCGTCAATATAGTTTTACCTGTCGATCGTCTAAAAATATTTCCTTTACGGATTTCCTACTACTGAGTCTATAAAGAGGATTCTTTTTAGCTAGTCTATAAAAAGATCCTGCTTCAGCAAAAAGTGGCTCCCTTCAGCTGGTCTATAAAGACTCTCGTCAGCTCGTCTATAAAGACTCCCTTCAGCTCGTCTATAAAGACTCCCTTCAGCTCGTCTATAAAGACTCCCTTCAGCTCGTCTATAAAGACTCCCTTCAGCTCGTCTATAAAGACTCCCTTCAGCTCGTCTATAAAGACTCCCTTCAGCTCGTCTATAAAGACTCCCTTCAGCTAGTCTATAAAGACTCCCTTCAGCTTGTCTATAAAGACTCCCTTCAGCACGTCTATAAAGACTCCCTTCAGCCCGTCTATAAAGACTCCCTTCAGTCCGTCTATAAAGACTCCCTTCTGCCCGTCTATAAAGACTCCCTTCAGCTCGTATATAAAGACTCCCTTCAACTCGTCTATAAAGACTCCCTTCAGCTCGTATATAAATTTTATACTTTATTTGTTTGATTTTATTTCAGAGTGAATTAGATACACTTTCGGCCACATTAAAACAATTGGAAAATCAACGTGGTGAAGCCCAAAAACGTTTGGATGATCTTAAAGCTCAGGTAAGTGTTGTAAACCCACCCTCTCCCTACATACACAACATATGTTTATTTTCGAGTTTTTATTGTTTTTATTATTTGATTACTTTTGCTAATTTTGTTTTGTTTATTTTTTAATATCTAAACCTTGGTTAATATCTCAATCTGCCCATCCTATTCCAAAACACCAACATCGTCTTTTGATTCCCTTACCCGGGAAAATAATTGTTTCAAAAAACATCCAAATCGAATTGAATTTCACTGAAACCCTTCCCCCCAATACATAATACATAGAGCCTTGAATATGAGAAGTCACTGCAAATCATAAATCTCGAAATTCCTAAAATGAGAAATCAGGTTGGTTTTGTGTTATTCCTTTGCAGATTTCTGTTGTGTATTTTTAATTGTTTTGTCTAATTTAAATTTTGTGTTTTGTAATTTAGTTTTTTACCACTTTTTTGTTCTATTTTCTTAATATTCTTCTTTTCTATCCAATTTGGTATACCAACCAAAGTAAACCAATGTGTTTGTATTAAAACAAATATGTTTGTGTTAGTATTAACGTGTGTTCGCTGTAATCACATAACATTCTGCTTTCTGAAACGTCGTTGTAAAATAAAAACCTTGTGCATGCGTCTCTACTCTCTAGCTAGCTAAACGGACAAACTAATGTGTGAAAACTGCGGCAAAATCATCTCATCGTTTACATTCATACGAATCATTGTTCACTACTAATCCCTTTTTATTCCTAATTCCTGTTTTATTTCAGGTTAATAAGATTCGTGAGCAGTGTCAGAAGCAGGAAGAAACTATCAACGAACAGGAAGGCGAGTTAAATGCCAAACGTTCAGAGTTACAAAAACTCAAAGATGAGGAGAACTCATTGCAAAAAGAATACGATGAAAATAATCGTGAACTACAAAAGCTTACCAATCATTTGCAGAATACACAATTACAAATTAGTTCGGTTAGTATTTATTCCTGACATTTTAAATTAAAAAAGTAACTAACTAATTTCATTTTTTTATTCAGATACGTTCCATGGTAACACAACTAATGGAAACCCAACGTCAAATGACTGATGCTTTGCTTATGTGTCGTGCTGCCATCGATTCTGAAAATGCTGAACTAGTTTCGGAATATCAATTGAAAATTGAACCTGACTTTAGTGAGGCACGCATTCAATTGGAAAAAGAAATTGAAATACCAAAAGATGATCCATTTAATGATACAAACAGCACCACCACAGCAATGAATAATAAAAATAATGGCTTTACCAGTAATGGCTTTGATAGCGATCCCTTTACCAGCAACACAACAACTGCAGCACCGGCGAAAGGTGGTTTTGATGATAGTTTTAATACAGGTTTTGATGCCAATTTCGATGCTTTTGCCAGTACCAATACTAGCGGATTTGGTGGGGATGCATTTGGCGGTAGTGCTTTTGCGAATAAACCAGCAGAGGTATGTAAAAAAGGCTGACGCATAAATGTTAATATTTTAATTTTTAATTGACTCTTTTTATACAAAAAAACTAGCCCGCGAAGGATACCTTTAACAACGATCCATTTGCTGCACTACACGCCCCAACGGGTCAGGGTCAAGTATTAAGCCCAAATACGCAGACACAAACACAAAATCTAACCACTGCAAAATCAGGACCTCCGCCAAGACCAGAATCGCCTAGTCCAGCATTACCTCCGAAGAAATCAAAGGTGCCCCCACCAAGACCAGCTCCACCCAGACCAATGCAGGTAGAGTATATTATTATTATTCAAAACTTGTACCCATCTAAAAATAACTTTAAAAATATTTATATGTCCTAAATACCATCATAAATCAAATGAGACCAAAATCGTACAATTGTAAACGTGTTCCAAAACAATGAACACTTGTAAGAATCGTAGTTCAAGGGAAAGCAATCACACAAACACTTTCAGCATTTCCTATTACTTTGAACAATTTCACACCAAAGTCTGGAAAAATATGAAGCCGCGTAAAATACACCAAGTGACATTGAAATACTAAAGTCGTAATTAAAATCCGGGAATCTATATTTTAAAGTAGCTGATGCAGGACAGGTGCATTAACTTGAATTTTCCCGTACAGCATTTCTCATTTTCACATCCTTTTACAACTAGGTTTGTTAACCTCTATTGTTTTGGTTTTTTTTTAACCTGGCACAATGTTAAACATTCACTGGGGATGGTATGCAGAGCTGTTGTTATGTTGTTGTTGTTGTAGCAGCCCTATTGCTTTTACACAATGGGCTGAGGTGATGTCGTGGAAACGAGAGCTGTTGTTATCGTTGTTGTTGCTGTCCATTACTATTAACTACAATTTCTTATTTAGTTGACCCTTTTCCGAGCGGTTTTTTTCGGCTGGGAGTTAAAAAATAATGGGGAGTAGATCGTGATTTTAATAAATTACATGAAAGATGAAGATTTGCCTAGGGGAAAGGAAATACTTTTTCGAGATCTCAATATGATTTTCGATGTGAAAACATACTATACAGGTGGTAAGGTAAGAGGAACTTAATAGAGGTTCATATAGGTGGTGAGAAGCTTTATATAGGTCCGTATAGGTATTGATAAGCTCTATAGGGGTCCGTAGAGGTGCTGCAGTACCACAAATGTTGGTATTGCTGATATGAAGGTCAATAGAGGTGCTGAGGAGCTCTATAGTTGTTGTTGTTGTAGCAGCCCTATTGCTTTTACACAATGGGCTAAGGTGACAGACGTTGCCCGGGTAAGACTCGGGTCGTTTCGGATCGTAGACCCCTCTGTCGTGGAAAACCCTCTATAGTGCTTCGTATAAGTGCGGAGGAGGAATATAAAGGTCTGTGTAGGTGCTGACTAGCTCTGTAGACGTCCATATGAGAGCTGAGGAACTCTATATGTAGTGAAGAATTCTATAGATGTCCGTATAGGTAATCAGGAGCTCTACAGATGTCGGTATGGGTGCTGTGAAGCTCTATAGAGAAAATTAGGAGCTTTATAGTGGTCCGTATAGAACTAGACCTTATCTTTCAATCAATATGTTATTTTCCAAATTTAATTTGACGGCTAACATGTACTACTTAAGAAGCTATACATATTTCAGTACACCTTAAAAATCTATACATATTTCACAACGGCTAAAGTTTTTACAGTCCTTGAAAATTCGTATCAGATTCCAAGATATTTTTCTAAATCTTTTATTTTATAATTACTTGCCTTTGCACTTACTGGTATAATTTATCAGCATACATCGCTCATTTGCTGCAAGAGAGGCATAACTCAAAAGTTAATGATGCACGATTGTTCGCTATAATAGACCTCATGTTGTGTAAAAAAATCATATGAATATCTCTTACACACTCTAATTGAGAAGCTGTAGAAGTTCCTCTGTCCCATATAAAGTGTGAGTAAATTGAAAGCTTAAAACGCATTTTCTACAAAATCGCTTTTTGAGTTATGCCTGTCTTGCAGCAAATGAGCGATATGATCTGAATTGTCGCGAACAGGCCTCAAACATCCCTCATGTCTCATGACGAAGTAATTGAACTATTGGTTGAACATATTGGCGGGTTTGATAGTATAAGTATGGTAAGGGTTTGTTAATATGATTACCAGATAATGCTAAATGTGGCATTTTAGAACCGTTTTAATTTCATTACATATTTTGTCTTAAACACATTTTGTCTTAAATACATTCAACATTGTTTTATTTTTCTTCATTAAAGGCTCCTAATCGTCCAGCTCAACCAGAAGGCTTTGGCTCCACCACAGGATCAGGAGGTTTTGCTGATTTTGCCGATTTCGATACTAAGGTTGGTAATTTTTCAGTACGTTGGGATCGGTGGTAATGCATGCACACCGCTTATTACATATTTCGTTTGTAGTTTCAAAAACAAAAACAAAAAGACAACGAAATGTTTTGTTTTTATAATTTTTTATATTGTTTTTATAGAATTTTGTTCTGTTTTATTTTGAAATTATATAGTATTTGTTTTTCTGGCTTTTTTTTTCTTTGTTGACTAATTTTACTAATAAATTTTTATGTTCGTTATATCCTTCATTCAATAATGGCTTTAAAAAAACCATTAATCATACATTCTGTTTTTCATTTTGGAGTTTCTTTTTGTTTACTAAAAATATACATGATTTTTTATTACAAAGCTCAAGAAAGATTCCCTTCCCTTACTCTCTTTCTATGAGAAGAACTCAAACTAACTAACCGTATGCTTTTTCATATCTTTTCTCTTGAAACCAATTTTCTATTTTCAGTGAACGCCATAAACAAAACATAGTATCATTAAAACAAACCACATCTCATTGTCGCGTATCTAATCTAGTTTTATTTTTCTTTATATAGTATAATTATTAACAATTAACACACACACAAAGAACATATACCATCAAAATTAAAGAAGAAACCAAAAAAACGTTAAAGGAAAATTAACTCTTTGAACAAAAAGCAAACAAATAAATTATAATCTATTTATTATAAATGTTACAAATGTTTTCTCTTGATTTTCAAATCATTAACAAATAACAACAAAAAACTAATCCTCAACTTACGATGTATGTAATTCAAATAATAAGTAAAAGTAATTCAAACATATTTAGCATCAATTAATCAAACCTACTAGTCATAACATATTACAATTGTAGCTTCAAATGTTCGTTTCGAATTGCAAATACTCAAATTTCGTAATGGCGTTGATATGTTTCCCATCTACTTTTATTAAATATTTTATTGAAGTTGTAGCAGAGAATTTAATGGTTTTGAAAATAACGTTAAAGAATATTGCAGAGGTGACAAAGTAGGAAAAATATATTCAGAAGTTCGTGATTATTGTGATTTTCCCCATGAAAAAATAGTGAGGAATATGTAGAAAGTGTGATGTGTCCAGGAAAGTTTGGACCATTAGTCCATTAAACAAGTGGGAAAAGTATTGAGATTCGGAATTGAGTGATTTTATTTGATTCGGTTTCATAAACGAACAAGCATGGAACAATGGGTGTTCAAACGTTTTCGTTATTTCGTTATCCTCTTTTAAATTTAGATTCGGGCTTCGTCGCTTTCTTGCCCCCCTCCACGTATTTGTATACCCTCCATAGTAGTAACACATCGAAATAATCATTTCCGATCCTATAAAGTATAAAGATTCTTGATCGGCGTACAAAAAAATAATGTCATTGACTATTGGTTTCAGTCTGGATATCACATTATTTGTGCACGGGACACAGGATGCTGAGGTTCCAATCATTGGGCATGCATTCCTCTAGCCAAATTGTACAAATCAGCTGGTGCACGCTCCTTACCAGTTTCTGACCACCAGACATGCATAGTTCGGCTAATAACCCATCGGCACCTGCTGCTTTGTTATTCTTCAGCCGATTGATTGTTATTCTGATCTCATCTGGGCTACACACTATCCCGTCATCTCTTATTGGTTCTGGGGTATCTTCTTCACCGCCACTATTTGATACCAGAAGATTTTCAAAATTCTTCCTCAACACGCTGTCTGTATCTGTCACCAGTTTTCCTTCTTCATCTCTACAAGAGGATGTGCCTGCACCAAACCTAAGGTTTTTCTCTTGAAGAGATGGGGGGATAGTCGTTACTCGAAATTGTCTGTTTTCACCCTACAAAGTATAGAATTCTAAAACGATTTAACCATATGTTGTAATCATTCCGCCCTCTTAGGATGTATTAGGAATAGCCCTCATATAATGATAACCCCAAAATATTCTCTAATTCCTACACTATGTAATATGATCGCAAATATTCAAATATTATTTATATAAAACACATCGCCCCGAGTAACATTACATTCAGCTTAGTCCGGTATAAATTCTCTGCTAATTTCAATAAATGCTCATTCCATTCCTGCAAAATAATTAATTTGTGTTTATTATAACAAAAATGTGACTTAACAATATTTAGTACATTAAATCATAATAAAAAATACTATCTAATATAATAAAATTGAATACAAAATGCAATATTATTAGCCTTTACATACATCTGAACACAAAAAGGAAACTTAATCAAATCCTAATACATACTCATTATTCAACTTGGATATACCTTTAACACTTTAACGAATACATACCAATATATCAATTATTAGTCTTCGTGTACCTTACATAACCTATAAACCGTTATACAGTATATTTTCGATATGGCAGACAAAGAAATTTAAATAATATTCCATATTCGATTCAAACTGAAAGCGACGATTTACAAATTTCATATAATATTTCAGTAACACTTTATTAAATTTGTTATGAAATCACTTCCCATCTTGTCAATGTATCTAAAATTTTCCGTGTGTCTTGTGATTAATATTATTCTCTCACTTGCGAGTGTCCTGTTATTATCGAAATAATATTGTACTTTTATGCTCTAACAACTATTATTTCCCCCCTAAAAATATTTGTTTTATAATTGTGAGGAATGCAACAACAATTATCCAAACAACCTATCCAATTAACAAAATAATATGCAATAGGAATGTTAGTAATTAAATACCAAAAAAATACACATGCTGAACAAATACTGCTAATTAGAACAACCATCCATCCAAAATATAACAACAACAAACAAACAAAAAATATAACTACATCTAGTCAAATTAATTTCTGTTCGTTCAATTGTTTGTGAATCAATCAAACTCTAATACATTTCATTTTGTTATAAAAACTATAAATTTATTGAAGTTTTGAAATGTTGAATTTATTTAATTGTTAGCCAAAATTGTTTTCAGTTTCGTATTAATCCTTACATATATCATATAACTTACATATGTTCCATTTAATCTCGTGTAATATGTAATTCCATATTCAAATACTACGATGCGCTGCTCTACATGTACATGACGAATTAGTTATTCGACAATAACACAGGAAATTCTTGAGTGTGCGAAAAAAAATTATGTTTGAAAGCCGTAATTGATGGTTAGCTAGACGTTTTTGGTGTGTAATTTCAACATAACGAAAACCGGTAGCGTATGTTGTACATGCCATATTTTATAAGATATTCAAATGTAGGCAGTACAATTGAAAATCTATATATTGATTTCTTTCTGTGTAACTGTTTTAACTGCAAGGGAAGAGTTCATTCTCTGTGGCCATTTCCTCTGCCAGTACTGAAAAGTCTGACAGTAGCTGATAGTTAACGTCTATCATGACGTCCTAGGGTTCAAAGTTCGCTGTCAATAATTGTTTGTGTCCGATGAGGTGACGATTTCAATTTGTATCTGGGCAGCAGAATACACTGGCACATTATGTTGCTTTATTTGTATCATCCTGATCTTCTTATGAAACTTATATTCGACGGAAAACTAGTTCAGAACAGTCATTTCGCTCGATAATTCCGCAGCCTGTTATAGGGCTTAACAATTGTTTTAAAAAATAAAGGATCATAACAATTTTCTGTAGTTCGTACTGACAAAAGTTGACCAAATAAAGGGTATAATTAAGCTGATATAGGTATTGACCATACATTTTAGCCGACCTTAAAATTAGTCGCTGCAGCTCGATACGTTGGACAATGCCGATGTCAGAGAATAGATGGTACAAATCATGGTTCATTCGTAGACGACATTCACTGTCGACGCAGGTCGGCTCATATATCTTCCGGATAATTTTTCTCTCAAACACTGCAAGAGCTGCCTCATCTGCTAGCGGAGAATTTTTCTCTCAAACACTACAAGAGCTGCCTCATCTGCTTGCGCAAATACCCATGCTTCAGATCCATATAACAACACGGGTAGTATCAGCATCTTGTAGAGTGTGAGTTTGGTCTGGGGGAGGTGACTCTGTTTCTAAACTGCTTACTTAGACCATGATAGCATCTGTTGGCCAACACATTCCTTCTCCGAATTTCAAAACTGATGCCATGAGTTCTTTTTTATGGCGGTGCCAAGGTATATCAAATCTTTGACTACCTCGAAGCTGTAGTTCTCAAGTTCCACAGCTGGTCCGAGTCTACTGGACGTCTTGCGCGTTGTTACCATCAGCCAGACCCACTTTGGCAGATTCCTTCTCAATTTGTTCAAAGTTGGCTGTTAGGTTAGGGATTGCAACCGTTCACTCAGAGGCATTTGTCCATTGTGATCATCCTTGGTACCTGAAAAGAGAGGAAAAAAGAGATTAGAAGAGTGAAAAATAGTTTAGAAAGTGGTTATTTTAGCCATGCCAGAGTCGTAACAAAGCTTAGGATCTGCTTGGAGTCTATTCCGGAGAAGAATGCTAGATTATCAATTTGCCAAAACTGTCTGTGTCTTCTGCCACTTAGCGATGGACAACTACAAAGGATATGTTCAATTGTTACTAGATCTGTTACCGCTCGCAATGCTCGTACCATTATATCGTATATATCCTGCATAGCCGTATTATGCAGGAATGTCAAACGCAGACATGGCTTTAAACAAAAGGGCTGTCGAATGTAGCTTTATAGTCGACAAAAATTTGGAATGTGTCGATGTGTTTTTTTCGTGGATCTTTTACAGGATCAGTGTGCAAATCTGAAAATCTGGTCAATGGTGGAATTGACAGGTCTGAAGCCGTATTGGTATGGTCCAATAATGTCATTATGTCAAATTGTACAAATTCACCAGTCTTGAATAGACCGGCTGATAATCCATCGGCACCTGCTGCTTTATTATTCTTCAGCCGATTGATTGATATTCTGACCTCATCTTGGCTAGGTGGTATACCCCCTATACCGTCATCTCTTATTGGTTCTGGCTTATCTTCTTCACCGTCACCATTTGATACCAGGAGCTCTTTCCAGATCTTCAAAACGCTATCTTTATCTTGACCAGTTTTCCATCTTCGTCTCAACAGGAGGATGTGCTTGCACCAAAGCTTTCGCATTTAAAACATTTTCACTATAGTGGGGGATTATAAGTCTAGGTTCGGTCATCTAGGATGAATTAAATAAATTTGTAGCTTAACGTCACAGCTGTTACATTTACATCAAATCCCACTACTAAATTTGCAATGTTCACATACCTTTAGGCGCTAACATAAACAAAATTCATTATTATTTTCAAAAATGGTTATTGATTGAATTTTTTATAGGGCTTTGTAAGTTGACTGTCAATAAATCGATCAATCGATCTCTTGTAATGACAATATCATAGCAAAGCTAGAGAATGTAAAGTTTTATTGACACAAGACCAAAGTACATATTTTTTCTAGAAGGCTATAAATAACATTTAATGAGAGTATAGAAAATATATAGAAAACCATATGTAAGACGTTTCTATATATACAAAACTAAAGCAACTGAAATTGCAAACCGAATAAATGATCTGTAACTTTTAAAAATAATGTTATAGTGAAAGTTTTTTAGAAATAAATAGATAACTTATTAATAAAAAAAAAAACACACACACAATTTATTTCGAAATAAAAAATATTTTTTGGAAAACTAAATTGACCCAATTTCTGCTTGGTCAAAACTAAACAACTTTTTGATTTTTTGACAGCATAGCCATTATTTTTGATTACGGCAGCACACCTAACAGACATTGAATAAATAAAATGCTCAATTTGATCCTTGGGTATACTTTTCTCCGCATCCTGAAAATTTGAGAAGAGGTTATGTCTGTTTGTTTCACAAACAAACATCGTAATATTTCTCCAATAAGTCGGATTCCAATTAATATGAGCTTTTGGTTTTGCGATTCTTTCAGAAATAAAACGGCTTTATTGATGATTTCAGGGCAAGTTGACCTGCTACCATAGCTCGTCCACGATCTGTTCTTGAGGTTATATCTAGACATCATTTTCTGTGATAATTATTTTCACAATCACTGATAATTAGCTGTTTTATCGGAGTAATGTATTTGTTTCTAGCATTTAGACAATTCCCTTATCCATAAATTACTATTTATTTCATAATGAATTTTGCATTTGTTCTTTTGCTTTTTTTAAGTGAACAAATGACCAGTTTTAAAACTTAAAAAAAAAACCCAACACGATGTCTTTATTTTTGAAAAAGTTATGCGGCATTTATTATGCTTGCAATTTTAGTTGGATTCGTTTCGGCCACCAGTGTATCTTCCAAAGAAGACTGACCTTCATATGTCGTCTTTCTATACTTCGAAAGCATTTAGAAAACGTTAACAATATTTGTGGCCATAGGACTGAATTATTTTTCTATGAAATTGTAAAATGAATCCAATTTTAAATCTAAACGTTCAAAATCACTCCATGTAATTGAAAAAAAGATAACAACTAATTCGAAATACAAATGGTGGAAAAAAGATAACTGTAATTACAACATACACCCACTACCATAATAAACTGACAGTGCACACAAACTCTCATTTAAGTGATCGTTATAATTCAATGACACTCTCGTATTGTTATCATTAATAACAAACAGAAAAAAGAAACTAAACAAAAATATGGAAAAATATTTATCAATTGCAAAAACGACAAAAGCTATAGTTAAATTTATTAACATTCTGCAAATATAACATTATAAATATATGCATACATTTACATTATTATTAATATATATAAACCAAATTATAACAAAAAACATTAATTTTTTCTCAATTTATATTTAACAAATGAATGGAGAAAATATTTAAGCGAAAACATAAATGCATAAATCAATTGCAAAAACAATAAATGAAATAAATAATAATAAAAAATAATTATGTATTAAAAGAAAACAAATTGCTTTTATTAAATTTCTTTTCAAGGTATTTTTAAAAACACTGGGAGTTATTTTTTATTTATATGTTTTTTTTTGTTTTTTTGTATAAACTGTTTTATCGTTTGAATAATATTATTAATCCCTAATTTGTGTGATGTCTATTTATTTATTTTGTTTGTTTATTTCATTAGTTTGCTAATATTCAGTATGGGCTCAATCACCGCAATACTATTTAATTTCTTTAAAATGAAACAAAAGTGTAACCTTATGATTTCGTTTTGGTTTCCATTGCGAAAATTTAATTCCGAGAAAGCATGAGAATTGTAATAGGAAGAACATTAAAATTTGGTACGATTCCGACCAGATTTGCATATATCTTTTATACATAATTTTGTCCGATTTCTTGCAACGACTTTTGGTCTCTGAAATCTAAACCAAATTCGGTATACAAATAAAATTAACACGAATAATATGTATCCCTAGGGCAAATTCTACGTATCCCCTGAGGGTAATAGGGTATCGTATAATTTGTTTTTACCTTAAATACATTTCTTTTTAGTGTTTTTTTATATAAAAACCAAAAAAGTTTTCCTGTTGCAAGTCTGGAATCCATACGCTATCTTGTTTGTAAATTTATATTTTTATTTGCATAATTTATTTATTTTTATATTATTTCTATCATTTTTTTATTTAAATAGATTTTTAATTTTAACATTTTGATTTTCTTTTATTTCTTTTTTATTTTCCTTAATATCAAACCATTTAAAATAATCTCTAGGCACCCATAATACCACCACCCCTGCCAACGATACCCTATAAATCAGCCATAAATTCCTCAAAGACAAAAACATCCAACATCTCATCATCGCCATCGTCCACATCAAATCTATCGTTATTTGAAAATTTCACACTAACTCCACCAGTCACAACGAACAGCATTAGCTCGCTTGCTGCTGCCACCATTTCGACAACCACTTCAAACAACAACAATATTTCATCAAGTTCATCGACAACTATAGGCTCGAATATCTCCTCCAGTAGTACAACGAAACAATTGGATGACTCATTTTCTGATTTATTTAAAAATGTCAATACCACTACAACCAGCACGAACATCACATCATCCATTGACACGGATACGAACACGAACATTTCAACATTATCATCATCATCCACATCATTTGATGTCACAAATAGCAATAATCCATTAACACGTTCCCGTTCCAATACACCAAAGCAGCTGGCTGCAAATACAACGGTGACTATGGTAGCAGCAACAAGTCTATTTGATGCCTTTTCGGCGCCGGCAACGACATCAACAACGGCAGGAACAAAGGTTGTGGATCCCTTTAGTACCATAAAGTCTACATCTTCAGTAATAAGTGGACCCACCGACTTTAATGATGATCCATTTAAGGATTATCGTTACGAGGATCCATTTAATATTAAGGATCCATTTGCCGACGATGAAGATGAGTTTTCAACGGATCCTGAAAAAGTATTTAAGGATGATATAAGTTCAGATGGTAAGTTATAGTTATTCATCTTCAATGATACGATAATTTCTATTTTTATTTGGAACTAATATCTGCTCTGCACATTTACATGGACGACAATAGTCGTTTATCCAATATGGAGTGGGAATATATATATATATATATATTATCGCGATTTCTATACGGAAAAATATTTTTCCGGAACATATTTAAAAAAATCCAGATATGAAGCGAATTTCAGTAAGTTTTGTTCCTATCGGTCTTTGGTGCACCACTTACTAAAAATCGGACGAAAATATATATGAGAGCTATATGCACACGTTAGGCTATACTAACTTCAGTACGTTGTGCAAAATTTTGTGTCAATCGGCCTAAATTTGACCCTTTGGGAGCTATATGAACCGATTTTCACGAAGCTTAACACACATAATTCTAGACTCAATTCAAAATTTCGTACAAATCGTACACTGTTTACATAAAAACGGACGAAAATATATATGACAGATATATCTAAAACTGAACCGACTTTCACGAATCTTAGCACACAGTACACTAGACTTAAATCAGTACGCTATGCCAAATTTCGTGCAAATCACAAGAAATATGAAGACTTTGGTGCACCATTTACATTAAATCGGACGAAAATATATATGGGAGCTATATCTACATCTGAACTGATTTTCATGAAATTTAACACACATAATTCTAGACCTAATTCAGTACGTTGTTCGTAATTTCGTGCAAATAATAAGATATATAGGGACTTTGGTGCACCATTTACATTAAATCGGACGAGAGCTATATCTAAATCTGAACTGATTTTTTTTGCCAATTTCCATAGGGTTCGTCCTTGGGGCAAATAAATGATATTTGCCAAATTTCATCTCATTCAGATAATAAATTCGACCTGTACTTTGTTTACAAGAATACATGGACAGACGGACAGACATGCATAAATAGACTCAGAAAGTGATTCTATGCGCATTCTTAAAAGGAGCCATGTGTCTACCTCGTTTCTTTTTGTCTGTTACAAACATATGCACAGTGTGGTGAAGGGTATAAACATGCAGAGCTTCACATGTCCTTTACAGGTCACATATTTCCCCCCTTTTATTCCCCTCACCCAGTGTAACAACTAATGTTCAACTAAACTACAACATTATCATTTCCCTCCCCGATTTAAACTACCTAATAATTGCTTTTTGTCATTTCTTTTAGATGATAAACATAAAACGAACACTAACAATACCACACAAGATTCCATGCAAACCATATCAACATCAACCTCCAATATTTATAGCACGGCCAAATCGAATTCGACCGTTAGCAGTGATTTCCTCAACCAATTCGAATCTTTCAATCTGAATAACAATCCAAGTCCAGTGCCATCACATCATTCAAGTTCATCAAGTGCTTTTACCGGCATGGGTGCCATGGATGGCATCAATAACAACAATAACAAATCGAAAAGTAATACACCCTTACCAACCACCACCACCACCACCACCAGCAACACAACAACATCGAATTCATCAAATCTATTTGATAATTTTGCCGATTTTGATGCATTCTCCACGAAATCATCTACCTCAACAATGGAATCGAACAAAAAGACAACGACGACTAAGATTAGTAAAGCCGATCCATTTCTAGATGCTTTTAATGATAACTTTGATACGCATTCGAACAAAAGTTACGACTCAATTAGTAATCCCAAGAAAACGACTGGAAAATCGATGACATCTTTGGATGCATTTGATGATGCTTTTTCGGTACCGGATACAGCCAATAAATCACGCCAATCACCATTTGATGCATTTGGTGGTGGCAGTGTTGGTTTTGGAGGAGCCGGCGAACAAATAACAGCCACGGCAATGTTTGATGCCTTTAACGATAATAATTTTGAAGATGATTTCTTTAAAAATTCCAATACCACAGTCAAAGAAACAAATCTAAACAAAGGCAAATTACAAAACAAATCCCCAATATCATTCAACAGCAACAACAACGATACTAACATTGACAATTTTGCAAAATTTGATGCTTTTTCCAATGACAATTTTAATAATACCACCCCATCAGACATCACAAATTTGAACAATAATAAACAAAAATACTCATTGCCATCATCAGCTGCAACAACAGCCACTACAGCATCATCATTAGGTTTAGCTGCAATACCAAGAACTGAAAATCTATTAAAAGTACAAAATCAAACTTTACTCACAGCTGTGTCGAACACAGACAAAGCAGCAGCCGCTGCTGCGGCGGGTAACAACACCTCTGCCCTAAATGAAAATGGTGCTAAATTACCAGAGAAATTCACAGCAGATTATTCTAAACCGGAAACATTTGATGATGATCTACAGGAGGCCATTAAACGTAGCATGATTGAACAGTAAATATATGTGTATGGAGCATCATGGTATGATGATTATGATGATAACCAAATGGGCAATACTATATAATCAACTATTTGGGATTTCTTTTTTTATGATGCCAAAGGCAAACACTGACAAAAGTACATTACTTAGTAATAGATGAACAAACATGAACGGAGTTGAGAAAACTCTTTAACTTATATATTATATCACTATATATACTATATACATACATTTCAAAGATATTATCCATATTGATATATATATAAAAATAATTCAGTAGCGAAAGGAGTTAATTTTTGTTGATGATATTGTATTATTATTTTTTGAAAATAAGATAATTGTATTTTCAAGTCATTCCAAAACAAACGATTCAAATATATTGTTGTTATAATTACCAATGAGAGATTTTTAATTGTTATTGTTGTTACAGTTACAGTGATATTCGATGATAGTAGCAATGATTATGATATGATCTCTTCCAAGAAAAAAACTGTAAAATATTTGAGATCACGTTTCGGATCAAAAAGGTTATATGTGGTTTAGTATTCAGTATTCATTTCTTTTCCTAAATATTCTTAAACAAAATGTGTGATCATTATTAAAATATTTTTTTTCTTCAAAACATATTTCATTTTTCAAAAGCTATTCTATCAAGAAAGTGTTTTTTATATTCAAAAGAAGATTGGAGAATATAATTCTAAGATTGTTTTTGGAAATTAAAAGATATTCGGCATAGCATATATAAGATTTTTATCTGCAAATTATGGTCTTCTGGAAAATATCGCTTAAAAACTTTATAGAAAACACTCTCCTTTTTTTTAAGAAAATATAACGTGAAAGACCAAAAATATATGCAAGATTTTAAAGAATGGACAATATGGAATGAGGAATTTATTTAGAAGGGTTTCTATTCGTACAACCAATTTGAAAGCCGTATCATCTATACCGATTTATATATTAAAATTTTTCAAAATGTCTCTCTACAGGAGTTTTATCAATCTTTCTAAAAAAAGCTTTGCTAAGTAAGCTTCCCTTGTATTTTTGGGGTGGGTTTTCATCCCATTTTGACTTTCACAATATATAAATTTTTCGAGGAAAATATTTTTCCATACGAACTAGGTTTAGTACAAGTGGGATAAGTGAGACTTGTTTAGAATAGAGAACATTAGGTTAAAGTCAAAGTCATTTCGACCACGGTTCAAATATTTTATATTTATTTCAGAACTTTCCTCCTTCTAGGAATCTTCTAAAGTTGTTTCTAAATCGTTTTGGCGAGTAGCTTTGCTTTCAGCATGTGATAATCTTTTCTAGCCAATTCCTAGATCATCTTTGTCATAGAGAAACTGCCATAGTTGTAGGCTGTAATGGTCTCCTGATGAATTTAATGCTAAAAGGCATTCCTACCCCTAACCAGTGATTATTAGAAAGAATTTATAGTTGTCCATATTAGATTATAATGTGGTAAAAAGTATTCACATGACGTATTTCAAATTATCCTTCATTAGATGACAACAAAAGTTAAACGATTTTTTTAAATCTCATATCGTCATTAAAATCCGTGGAGAGGCTGAAATCTACCATGATATATCCACTTTACAATTGTAACGACTTGGCAATTAAGCAAAATAATTGCACACAATTCCAGATTTCAAAAAGTCTCCGTTTGAAAAGATAGTTGATACACAATTGGCTGAGGTAAATTCGTTCGTTTCGGATCGTAGGTCCAACTACATTATGCTGCTAACACCCCAGCATTAGGGAATCATAGTAAAAAGTTTGGTTACCAGAAAACCCATGTAAATGGATTATTAAGGGACGTCATTGAATATTTAAGTACGTTTGCTCCGTTTTAATGGAAATTTAATTTTATTTTTAACCCAATTATAGCTATTGAAAAATTTTCCGAGACTACACCTTTTTCACATGTTATTCAAAACATATCAATGTTAATCGAGAATTCCATTTGTAATTCACAACATATAATTTGCAATTCGATAATTCCATTTGTAATTCACAACATATCAGCTGTAATTCGAGAATTTCATTTGTAATTCCTAGAATACCTTTCGAAATTCATAGAATTCCATTTGAAATTCATAAACTTCCATTTAAAATTCCAAGTATTTGCGTTTGAAATTCATAAAATTCCACTTGAAATTAATAAAATTCCATTTGAAATTTATAAAATTCCATTTGAAATTTAAATAATTCCTTTTGAAATTCTTAACATTTGATTTGAAATACATAACATTCCATTTGTTTTTCATAACATTTAATTTTAAATTCGAAAAATATTATTGGTAACACAAAAGGAATATGTATGAATTTGAAATGAATTGTTATGAATTACAACTGAAATTTTATGAATTACAAGTGAAATGTTATGAATTTCAAATTTGATTCTTTGATTTCTTTGAATTTTAAATGAAACTCTACGAAATTCAAATTGAAATATTCGAATTACGAATGAAATTTTTTAAATTTCTAATGTAAATTGTAAAGTGTAAATTACATACTCGATTACAAGTGAAATGTTATGAATTGCAAATTGAGTTTTCGAATTACAAATGACATTCTCGAATTGCAATTGAGATGTTTTGAATAACATCTGAAAAAGATGTAGTTCAAATTCAATTAATTACATACCTTGACAAAGATCAGAGAAATAGTACAATTTTATCTACATTATATTATAATCAAAGCAATGCAATATCAATAACAATAAACAACATAAACAAATACTCCTTTTGCTTATAAAACCCTAAATGAATGCAAAACAAATGTCTAAAAATCTTACTTAAAAAAACTGTGTATTTTTTTTAAATATTTTTTTGTTTAAATATTATTGCATCTTTGATTTTTTTTTTAATATGAAATCTCGTAAAAGAAAATGTGTAATTTTATTTTGTTTTTCTTTTCATAAAAATAAAGGCGAAGCGTGTTTTTTTTGTTTACGAATTTTTCCCCCAATCCTTATCAATTATTTTTATAATTCCATTAAAATAACATACCTTCTGCTATTTGTTTGTATGTATATTTATTTCCATGTACATACATTATACCATATACATATATGGTGTAAGCATGTATAATCTTGTATTTTATTCCATTATATTTTTAATAATGATTAAAGTCACCTTATAACAAAATAATGTAAACAATTGTTGAGGTTGGGGGAAACAACTTATCATAAAAAGGATTGCGTTGTTGTATGTCATATTTTTTCGCAACCTGCATAGAATGGATTCTATAATATCTATATATAAAAATTAATATTATATTTATAGTAATATGCTTATTATATAATTATTTTATTGTTATGAACTTTAAATGTATTATTTACGATATTCGATATATACGATATACATGCATTATTTAAACACGTATACAATAACAAATATACTATAATAAAAAAACATAATATAATAAGGCTTTATTATTATTTTTTTCGGTAAGTTAAGCCTATTGACCCGCATTTTTTGTTGTTGTACTTGATTTACATTCATTTATTATTCAAATAAAATCTGCCAATAAAAATCCATGAAAATTTTGCAGATAACCAACAGCTATATAATATTTCACAATGTATTAAAAGAAAGTCACTCTTGTAAAACCTTTAGTATAACTCAGACATATAAACGCTTAATTTATATAGCAAAGTTAAAATATGTATTGTGGAAAATAAAAAAATAGGTATAAAAGTTGTATAGAAACATATATTGTTGTTTATTACAAATACATATGATTTCCTATGCGAATGATTGTACGATCAAATTTTACGGACATCTTCGATCGATATCATTAGGTTCAATCTTCTTTAAATTTTGCTTTGATATTATATTCGCATCATTTCAATTTGTGAGAAATTCAGCTAGTATTTCAGATAAAATATTTTAGAATTTGCTTAAAATGACTAAGCCAATTCTCTATATGAATCCTCTTTGTGCTCCATCCAGAGCAGTTATATATCTGGGTAAATGCATTGGGTTGGAACTTGAATACAAGTAAGTATTAAACACATGACAAAAAGCGTTAACTATTAATTTCGAAATTAAAATAAAATCTTAATTTTCCAGAGAAATAAATCTTGACACAAGGGAAACACTAACACCAGAATTTCGCAAACTAAATCCACAACATACTGTACCCACTCTGATTGACGAACAAAATGTTATCTATGATTCACATGCCATTTGTGCATATTTAGTGGATAAATATGCTCCAAATGATAAATTGTATCCAAAAGATTTGGTTCAACGGGCATTGATTGATGCCCGATTACATTTCGATTCGTGTGATATATTTTCGACAATGCGTTTTATGTATGTGCAAATATTATATGGTGGACTACAAAGTATACCCGAGGAGGTAATCAGCTGTTTACAAGAATCTTGGATGATATTGGAGGATATTTTAAAAGGAAGTAGTTATCTTTGTGGTGACGGTATGACAATTGCTGATATCTGTTGTTTTGCCACGATAACGGCAGTTTTGGAGAATGTCCCAATTGAGGAAGAGAAATTTCCAAAATTATTCGATTGGTTAAGGAGAATGCGTTTGATGCCGTTTTACTGTGATGACGGAGCTGAAAGATTGCAAAGGAAAGTACAGAAGAAACTTCAAGAGAATCGTTTAACAAAATAATATATAATAAAATGGAAATTATTACATATTTTCTAATTGAAAACAATTGTAAAGAATAAATGTAATGATATTCAACTATATTGAAATTATGGAATATTATAATATAGGCAGTCGGACAAGACAATGTATTAATAATTTGAATCAAAAATAATAATAAATAAGTTCCAATTAATATAATTTGATATCTTTGAATCCCGGAATTGGTTTTTTATCAGGTATTTGAATCTTCGATTTATTTATACCATAAAGTGGAGAGTATATTAAATTTGTCATTTCGTTTGCAACACTTGAAATATTCTTGATCAGAATAAAATTCTATGTCGATTTGTACATGTCCGTCTGTCTGTTGAAATCAGAAAAGAGATCGCAACATTTATGATAGAGCTTTAGTATTTTGCACATACATTGCTATTACTCTTAGGTAATATGTTTGCTATTGTAAACATCGATCCACGCTTTGGAATAACCACCATATTACGGCACCAAAAAACAACATATTACCATATAACGGTAGCCTCAATTATTCCGTATTTTGGGGATTTAAGTCGTGTTTTTCAATTATTTTTGCAACAAATCTTCGAAAATTATGCAACAAAAGTTCGAGTCTGCCAGGACTGGACAGCGACACAGGAGATGCTCAATTGTCTCCGTCTCCTCCTCGTCATTACAGTGTCTGCAGTGGATAACAGAGTCTGCCAGATAGATTTGGACACATTGCATCTAGGTTTTTTGTGCCAAAGTTCATTGGTGACAGATGGGTGGTTTGATTGAGTCATCGATTGTTAGATCTGTGTATTGAGATCCTCGTCTAGCTAATTCGCCTTCTTTTCCATTACCAATGATGTCACAGTGTCCTGGTACCCAACACAGCCGACAGCTTGAGCACAGTAAATTTATGTTTGCAACAGCGATTTTTTTCATTTTGTACTACCGGGCCCCCCCCGAAATGAAATCCTGTGTACGTTGCTGCCCATGATGTCACAGTGTCCTGGTATCCAACACAGCCGATAGATGTTAGTAATTGTTTTCAAAACTGCTCTACACTCGAGGACGACTTCAGACTTGATGTTACAGGATTTGATGGCTTTCCCAACATCTGAATTTATAATTCTGCTATTTAGCATTTTATCTATCCAACAAGTAAGGGTTTCAGGAATGCTAACATTTTTGAGTGATGCTATGTCTATTCTATCTACAGGATATTGTACATATGAGCATCTCACGTATGTACCCAAAGTGGTGAAGGGTATCATATAGACGGCCTAGTCCGACTTTTTAACTTTCCTTACTGGTTTGAAACCGAGAATGGTTTCACAAAACAAAAACATATTTCAGTGTAGAGTTAATATTTTAAAAATAATACTAATTTTTAATGATAAATACGTTATATTCCATAATTAGTCCAGAAATATAAACTAGCTCTTGTAATAACACATTGTTGTCCTGTACGGCTGTGTGCTCTCAGAAGATCAACTTCTATGTCCATTGCGTTTTCGTCTGTTTAAATCACGATAGAGATTGCAATATTTGAAATTTTACACTGACGTTGCTATTACTCCAAGGATGGCTGGTATTGCAAATGGGGTATATCTGTACACGTTTTGGTATAGCCCCCATATAACGGTATCTTAAATATTCGGTATTATGGGGATTTTGTACACCTTTTACAACCGAACTGGCTGTAATTTGGTTCGTTTGGCTCTCATTGGGTATTAAACCTTCTTACCGAAAATGATTAATATTAGTACACTTTTTAGGGCGATATGTTTTTCGCCGAGTTGGCTGTGTTTTAGAATACACGTTGGGAATCAGATCTGCCGACGAAAATCCATAGACCAATATTGGTCCATGTTCCGGGATATTGGAGGTTAAAAAATTTGTGTGAAAATTATCTATTTACGTCCAAGTTTTTATATAATCCCCACATAAAAGTCCCGATCGAATAAAGCAATTTTGAATGTCCATCACGTGATTGAGGGTATAAAAAGTTGGGCCCTGTCGAATTTAACGACTTGATGACTTTTTTTCTCTGAAATATATTCCATCATTCAGGTACACATTTGCCAGAAATCTGTAAAAATCTACCAATTATAATAACAATCACATTTACCAAAAGATGATCTACATATCGCTCATTTGCTACAAGACAGACATAACTAAAAAACCAGTAAGGAAAGTAGTAAAGTCGGACGGGGCCGACTATATGATACCCTTCACCACTATGGGTATATTAAACAGGACTATTAGCATGAACTTGAATGAAATAAAATATGTGATATTTATCTAAATGTGAATCTACGTAGATCTATCCATAAAGTATGTAAATCGACTTCAAACAAATATAAATAGGTCATCCGTTGGGCTATGTCTGTACTTCTAGAAAACGAAACTACATAATTCTATGCTCAATTTTGTACGTTGTGCAAAATTTGATGTCAAACTGACTAACATGAGGAGTTTGATGCGCAATTTACTTGAAATCGGGCCAAATATTAAGCGATTTCAAACAAACTTGTCACAGGATACGTTATACTAATTTCAGAACGTTTTGTTCCTATTGGTTCCTTGGTGCGTCAAGTACTTAAAATCAAACTATAATAAAATGGAGCTATATCTAAATGTGGACCGATTTTCACGAAACAACGCAGACATCAATCTAGGCTCAATTCAGTACGTTATGCCAAATTTCGTGCAAATCGAAAGATATATAGGGACTTTGGGGTACCATTTACATGAAATCGGACGAAACTATATATGGGAGCTATATCTAAATCTGGACCGATTTTCACAAAACTTTACATACATCATTCTAGACTTAAGTGATTAGGCTGTACCAAATTTCGTGCAAATCGAAAGATATATAGGGACTTTGGGGAACCATTTACATGAAATCGGACGAAACTATAAGTGGGAGCTATATATAAGTGGGAGCTATATAGAAATCTGGACTGATTTTCATAAAACTTGGCAGACATCCTTCTAGGCTCAATTAAGTACGTTATGCCAAATTTCGTGCAAATCGAAATATATATAGGGACTTTGGGGTACCATTTACATGAAATCGGACGAAACTATATATGGGAGCTATATCTAAATCTGAACCGATTTCCACGAAAATTTACATACATCATTCTAGACCTAAATGAATAGGCTGTACCAAATTTCGTGCAAATCGAAAGATATATAGGGACTTTGGGGCACCATTTACATGAAATCGGACGAAACTATATATGGGAGATATATCTAAATCAGGACCGATTTTCATGAAACTTGGCAGACATCATTCTAGGCTCAATTCAGTACGTTATGCCAAATTTCGTGGAAATCGAATGATATATAGGGACTTTGGGGCACCATTTACATGAAATCGGACGAAACTATATATGGGAGCTATATCTAAATCTGGACCGATTTTCTCTAAACTTGGCAGAAATCACTCTAGGCTTAATTCAGTACGTTATGCCAAATTTCGTGCAAATTAAAAGATATATAGGGACTTTGGGGCACCATTTACATGAAATCGGACGAACCTATATATGGGAGCTATATCTAAATCTGGACCGATTTTCCCGAAACTTGGCAGACATCACTCTAGGCTTAATTCTGCACGTTATGCCAAATTTCGTGCAAATCGAAAGATATATAGGGACTTTGGGGTACCATTTACATGGAATCGGACGAAACTATATATGGGAGCTATATATAAATCTGGACCGATTTTCACAAAACTTTACATACATCATTCTAGACTTAAGTGATTAGGCTGTACCAAATTTCGTGCAAATCGAAAGATATATAGGGACTTTGGGGAACCATTTACATGAAATCGGACGAAACTATAAGTGGGAGCTATATATAAGTGGGAGCTATATAGAAATCTGGACTGATTTTCATAAAACTTGGCAGACATCCTTCTAGGCTCAATTAAGTACGTTATGCCAAATTTCGTGCAAATCGAAAGATATATGGGACTTTGGGGTACCATTTACATGAAATCGGACGAAACTATATATGGGAGCTATATCTAAATCTGAACCGATTTCCACGAAAATTTACATACATCATTCTAGACCTAAATGAATAGGCTGTACCAAATTTCGTGCAAATCGAAAGATATATAGGGACTTTGGGGCACCATTTACATGAAATCGGACGAAACTATATATGGGAGATATATCTAAATCAGGACCGATTTTCATGAAACTTGGCAGACATCATTCTAGGCTCAATTCAGTACGTTATGCCAAATTTCGTGGAAATCGAATGATATATAGGGACTTTGGGGCACCATTTACATGAAATCGGACGAAACTATATATGGGAGCTATATCTAAATCTGGACCGATTTCTCTAAACTTGGCAGAAATCACTCTAGGCTTAATTCAGTACGTTATGCCAAATTTCGTGCAAATTAAAAGATATATAGGGACTTTGGGGCACCATTTACATGAAATCGGACGAACCTATATATGGGAGCTATATCTAAATCTGGACCGATTTTCCCGAAACTTGGCAGACATCACTCTAGGCTTAATTCTGCACGTTATGCCAAATTTCGTGCAAATCAAAAGATATATAGGGACTTTGGGGCACCATTTACCTGAAATCGGACGAAACTATATATGGGAGCTATATCTAAATCTGGACCGATTTTCACGAAACTTGGCAGACATCATTATAGACCTAAATTATTAGCCTGTACCAAATTTCGTGCAAATCGAAAGATATATAGGGACCGTTTACATTAAATCGGTTAAATATATATATGGGAGCTATATCTAAATCTGAACCGATTTTTCCCAATTTCAATAGGGTTCGTCCTTGGGCCGAATTTCATCAAATTCGGATCATAAATGCGACCTGTACTTTGTTTACAATTTAACATCGACAGACAGACGGACGGACGGACGGACATGCATAAATCGACTTAGAAAGTGATTCTATGCATATTCTCAAAAGGAACCATGGGTCTATCTCGATTATTTTTGCCTGTTACAAAC